ATAAAATAATCTTTGTTAACACAATTTTCTTTGCATCATAAAACAATCCCTGACTTAAGCAATACTGATACCAATGAAAAACTACAGTAAGTATATCTATTGATCATTGTAACAAAAAATAATAATGCAAATGTTTTTACAGCAACACAACATTTCTTTAAATTTGCCACATAAAAGAATTAGCAAAATATCAATTACGTGATAGTGAAAAATTCGACAGTGTAAAATAATTCCCTTTCATAAATCATGAAGACCCTGCAATATTTTTCACAATTATTACCACTTTTAGTGTTGTAATTTGTTCTAGAATTAAAAAATGTTTCAAGGTTTTGTATGTTGTACTTTACATGATGATGAGTTGAGGAACCACCACAAATAGTTATTATGAATATTGCAACTGTCTCGAACTTCATCATCATGTTCTTGATATCTGAAATATTTTCTGTACTAAGAACGTTTTTTACTACTTCTGCATAAGCTATAATTTTGGAGGAACTGAACTTCCTATTCTTATTAATTAATGAAATAAACTTCGAAAAGCTGTATTTTTAATGCAGTATTTCATCAACCAATCATATATTTGATTTGAAACATCTAAAATATGATGCACTACATCATTGGTCCCACATATTTGATTTGAAACATCTAAAATATGATGCACTAGATCATTAATCCCACATATTTGATTTGAAACATCTAAAATATGAAGCACTAACTCATTAATCCCACATATTTGATTTGAAACATCTAAAATATGATGCACTAACTCATTAATCCTACATATTTGATTTGAAACATCTAAAATATGATGCACTAGATCATTAATTCCACATATTTGATTTGAAACATCTAAAATATGATGCACTAGATCATTAATCCCACATATTTGATTTGAAACATCTAAAATATGATGCATTAGGATCATTAATCCCACATATTTGATTTTAAACATCTAAAATATGATGCAATAGATCATTAATCCCACATATTTGATTTGAAACATCTAAAATATGAAGCCCTAGCTCATTAATCCCACATATTTGATTTGAAACAGCTAAAATATGATACATTAGATCATTAATCTCACATATTTGATTTGAAACAGCTAAAATATGATGCATTAGATCATTAATCCCACATATTTGATTTGAAACAGCTAAAATATGATGCATTAGATCATTAATCCCACATATTTGATTTGAAACAGCTAAAATATGATGCACAGTTTATGTAGGTGCGCTTCGACCGAAGTCATGCTGCCCAAAAAGATCCAATAACACCTTCATTCCTCGACCAAAGATAAGAGGTGATAAATAGATAATCAGTAGCTTTGTTATGTTGTAATTCTGCAGTTTATTATTCACGACTTCTAGCTTTAGGAATATTAATCTCTTTTACTCTCATCATCAGCCCAGCCTCTTAGTTTAATCTATGAAGATAGTTTCACATTGTTAGAAACACAGGAGTTATAGATGCAGTGCCAATTAATACTTTAGCTTTCCTTCTTTGGCTCGACTAAAATAGAGAATAAAATACTATGCCGTTCCTTAACATTCCGATGAACACACAGAATGACAACCTCATTGCAACCATATACAGGAAAACAACTTGTACTGATAGCTACTTACCTTTCCAGTTTTACCATCCATCTTATGTGAAATGCAGTTAAAATTAGTGCTTGAACAACAGAGCTGAAAACAAATTCATCAAAACCGAAAGCTAATACATCATACATTGTCTCTTGGCAATGTATCCATAATTAACTCACTTATTTAACAAAAATAGATCAGTGCATTAATTCTAGATGAGCATTACCTTTCCACTTCAGATAATACACGTTTCTCGACTGATCTTCACTAAGATTTTATTATTCCATTTTTCTCTTATGAATTCTGGCATGATTTATAGGATATATAAACTTTTCGTTTGCCCCGTGAGTCATGTTTTCATATTTTTTACGCCCGTGGATATTTTAATAGTGGCTGTGCTGAAAACAGTAATACAAAATCAATTTGGACTTTTTATTTGTTTGTAGTTAAGCACAAAGCTACACAAAGGGCTATCTGTGCTCTGCTCATCATGGGTATCGAAACCCGGTTTCTAGCGTTGTAAGTCCGCAGACATACTGCTCTGCCACTAGGAGTTGGTTGTTGTTTTTGTGATGTGTCTGTTTGGAGTAACGAAGTGTATAGTGCTTCCATATTTCAAACATTTTTCGATTTTGGGCCTTCTTTAATCCCTACATCTTGTTTTTATATTTTGTAGAGTCAGGAGATGAATCACTTGTAGGTGAAGTAATAATTGTTTTATCATTTTGAATAAGTATTACTTGTCCTTTCTCAGCCACCTTGATGGATTTCAACGTTTCTCAAAGTAGCACTTTGCTTCAGCACGATCAAATATTTTGATTTTGAATGACATTAGTAAATTGACCAATGAAATCTTGGTTTCTTAGGACATTTCTAATTAGAAGAACATTATGTGCAAATAGCTGTACGTTCTTAGAAAGAGACTTCTCATTTCCTCTTCACTAAAAGGAAAGAATGAACATAAATGAATGCTACCATATTTTGATTTTTTTGAAAATAAGTACTTTAATTTTATTTAGGTCGAATCTTTCAGCTGGGTAAAAACTGATTTTATTACTATTTGTTATTTCACTTATTTACTTGAAAAATAGTCTCCAAATGGACAAGGGCGACTTGGTATGTTTCACACCAAGGTTTGAGTTATTCATGTTTTTTGTTTTTTTGAAAGGTAAATTTTGTAAACGTTGTTACAGTGTATAGGATGGCGTTGGGTATTTCAAAGAAGTGGCCACTAGGATGAATAGCTATGATAATTTGAATGGTTCTGGTAAAATCCATTGCTCTAAATATTACAGTTAGTATGACTAGTTAACCCTTTGCTGAAATTCTTAAGTAATAGCTAACAGCAATCCACGTGGTCCTATTGTTAAACATACTAGAACCCTGCAAGTTATACACTGTGTGTACATGTTTCATTATTATACCTTAAATTTCTCGTTGAGCTATGGAAATCTCTTGATCATTTTATTGAATGATTTGTTAGTTTATTTGTTTCTTGTCAAGCGCAAAGCTACACAATGAGCTATATGTTCTGTGCCCATCACGGGTATAAATAAAAACAGTTTTTAGCGTTATAAGTCTTTAGACTTACCTCTGAACCACTGTGGGGGGTTTGAATGGATACCTGTTCATTTAATGTTTTTATTATTAATATGGCAACCTTATTTATTCATGTACTTTTATGTTGTAACAATTTTAAATCTATATTGTTTATTTTGTAACTGATGTGAAGCTGATATAACAAACTTGAACAGAATTCATCTATATAAACATTTATGTATCTTGCATCAAATTCGTTGATCTTCAAATAACGTGCTGTACATTATTTTTAAAAGTGGTATCTCTGCATCCATAACCTTTTACATATTTCGCTAGAAACCGAGTTTCGATACCCGTGATGGGCAGAACACAGATAGCCCTTGTGTAGCTTTGTGCATAATTAAAAACAAACAAACATTCTAAATATTTGTGTAAATTTTTGAAAGATATGATATTTTTCCCTTTAAACTGCTGTTCATTTTCTTTTTAGGTATTTCTTAATTTTTGGCTATGTTCTTAAAAATTCTGATTTCTTTTCCAATATTTCTCTACATTCTTGTGTTTGTTTTTTCTAAGCCTTTCTAACTTCTCGTGACATTTGTAACATTTTGATATCAAATGGATCAAAGTTTCCATACTTCTAACGTTCCGAAGTTATAAATGTTTTCATGTACGTTTTCAAAATTAATTTTTACTTCAAGCTGCTCAGCTGTCTGAAATATACGGATTATCATTAATCTAGTGATACCAACAGTGCCTATTGTTCTTCTTTCCAACTACCTTTTTCTATATAAAATACTGTTACTACATTGTTGAAGTGGATCCTAGCATTTAAAGATATACAATTGTTGTATAATGTTCTTGACTTTACAAAGTACTTTTTATCACGCTCTTTGTTTTCCTTTTCTAATTCATTTGTTCTTGTCCTTTCAGTTTTATGTCACATTTTTATCTTTTCGAATCCTCACTACTTTTCAGAATAATAACAATTTTAAACAAACAATCTTCACACTTTATTAAGCTTTTATTTATTAATTAATTTTCTATTACATTTAACAGATGACTTACTGATTTATGGAAAAATATAAACTTTGCATTTTCCTGGAGAATTACAAACAATAAATATAAACTGTAAGAATCCTTCTGATATAAGTTCAACAATCTAACAGAAATACTTACGTTGTTCTATTTCTTCCAACAATTAAAACATGTTACTTATATCAAAATAATTACACTTTGATAAAAAGTTTAGAAAAAAACGACCTTTATACTCCAGATATATATAAAATATTTATTTTTATATTTTAACCAACTTTTCGCCTTTGCAGCTTCATCAGGGTTAATATACACAACTGAACGACAATAAATAAAATAAATACATTCTAATTTTCACGTTACTTTGTATACGCAAATAAATGATAAATTCCACTCTTTCACAACTCTTCACAAAACCTCTTTAAATTCATGACAACCCTAACTGTAACGCACTATTAAAAATTATAATACATATTACAAGTATATATATATATTACAAATATTTTTTATAGAAATATTTTACAGAAAACAATTTACAAAATTAATATGACGTAACGATGTACAACAACACGATCAGATAATGTTTCCAATAAGTTCCTGTATTGTTTAAGGGAGATTATGATGTAATTTAGAAGACGTATCAATCTTGGAAATATTTTTCCATTTTTCCATTGTGATTTTTTAAATAGATATAAATATAATAATTTAACTTCAAACGAATATTCTAGCACATATATATATATAAGTGATATAAAAGTATTTCATTTCGTCATGTTATTTTTAAATAAAAAAATGTTAAAATGATGATATTGTTTCGTCATAGTCCATTCATTCATTAAATCAAATGTTTTCCTTGTAAAATATTAGGCTTGTACAAATTGCTGATTATTCAAATCTTAATTGGATGTTGCAAAGAGTGCCTACTTTTTGTGTAATAAACAAGAAAAACTGATTTTAAAGCTGTTTTCATAAAAGTAAAAAATAATGTAGGTTTTCTCTTTGCTGTTAAGATACTTAAGACAAAACATTTAGTGTTTTTATAAAGAGCTTACAATCACTCCTGGCTAGTTTTATCATATTAAGTAATACTCATAAAATAAATATAGTTATAAAATGATATAAATAGGGTGGAATTGGAAATTTTAACCTGAACTTCACTTTATGCGCACGTGAACTTTACGTCCAGGTCAGAGACCTGTAGGGTTAAAGTCTCTGATTTTTAATTACTGTGCAGTTATAGTCAGTAGCATTTCTTATTACCATAATATTAGTAATCATTCAGTGAAGTACTTGTGCATGTTTTAAGTAAATTAATAAACAACATCAAGAAGAATTTTCACAAATATCAAGTTCTGGAGTATTACATATTATAAGAAACGGTCACTGTCAGAATACAGTAAATTAGTTGACATACATACTGCCGGTCCGAGAGTGGCCTAGTAGTTAGCGTACTGAACTTGTATTTCGAGGGTCGCGTATTCGTGACGTGCTGCCACCAAACATGCTTTGCACTTTCAGTTGTGGGTGCGTTATAGGAATGACAGCCAATCCAGTTATTCAGTTAAGAGTAGCTCATTGTGTGCATCAGGTGGCTATTATGTGAATAAACGAATTATATGTATTACCAAATACATAGTACATAAGTACCTGATGATGACAAAACCTTGTCGAAACCTTGTACATTTGCTGTTATGTTAAACTTATATTAAAGTTTTTCTTCATTACCCATTCAAGCCGTCTCCAGCCATTATTAAATACATAGTTAGTTTCGAATTCTAGTTTTTCTTTTAGCTAATCGAATCAAATTTTTTATTAATGATATATTCTCATCAGTTTGGAGGAAAGGGTGCATAAGTAGGTTTTCTGCTGAGGATCGTTTGTCAGTGTTGAGCTCCAGACATTCATTAAGGAAATCTTGTAATACCAGCGAAATAGTTTTATTATCTTTTGTTCGAAGCTCTTTATTAGTAAGCTGCATCCACTGATAATCGAAAAAGTACGTTTCGCTTAGGAAAGGTAATTCTCCTGAAACCATTTCTGTGACAACAATCCCCAAGCTCCATATGTCTACTTTAGTATCATAAGGAATTCCATATAATATTTCTGGGGCCATCCAATAGACTGTACCCATTACAGAAAGGCATTTCTTCACTGTTTCTATATGTTTACACGTCATGAAATCAATAAGTTTCACACTTCCATCCATCCCGAACACAACATTACTACTCTTTATATCACAGTGAATGATACCCCTAGAGTGAAGAAACGCAATAGCCTGAAGAATTTCTCGGCAAACAACCGCTATCTGCCTCTCTCTCATTACTGTGTTAATAATGATATCACATAGAGTACCGCCTCCTAGGAATTCCATAACTATCCATAGATTATCTTCGACAACGTGACTATCCAAAAAGTTGACCAAGTTTGGGTGTCCTAAAGATGTGTAGAAAAAAAATAAACTTTAGGGCTTCTAAGAGAAATTAACTCTATTGAGAACTGAAAATTATGAATAAATTATATCTGCTGTTAAAAAATGAGCATCAATATATTTTGTTTCGTCTCTATTCAATAAACAGGATCTATAGTAAGAAGTTAAAACAATCGGATCACTTTATTCAAAGTTTAGTTTTCCGGTAAATAGTTTAACCATCTCACATAGAACCCCACCATATAGTTTCGTTGAAAAACAAACAAATTATACTAATTTAATGACGTAGTTCATAGTAAATCATTCTAATTTATATTTAGGCTAATGTATCACAAACTAAACCCAATGTTTGGAATCATGATCTATTCACCAATCTGTATCCTTCTCTCTTTAACACACACACACTAACTCTCTGGGTGTATATGTGAATATATATTGGGATTTTAATGCGTATGATTTCATATCGTTTTTTTAGTTCATTAGTCTTTTCATATGTGTTTATACGAACGACTGTACTTGTGTTATATATTTTATTTTTACCTGTTTTCCCTCATGACTATAACCTCATTTAAGACTTCTTCCTTCACAGGTTTTTTCAGCTTAATGATTTTTATGCCCACCATCTTCTTTGTATGCTCGTTCCTTGCTTTGTAAACTATTCCGAAGCCCCTATTAGAAAAAGTGTATGTTAACAAACATAATCTTAATCATCATCTTAACTGAAGTGTATTGCATCCTTTACGATCTTTCATAAAAAAAGGTTATGCAAAAAAAGTCACTGTAAGCCTTTAAACCATCTGTCTCATATAAAGTTTTCGTATTCAAATTCGATGACGAGGAACCCACTTTGAGACTAATAATGGCTGGAGATGGCTTGAATGGGTAAT